ACGTAGGAGGCGGCCGATTGATGTTCTCTCTCGTTGATGTTTCTCTCTCTAAAATCAATAAAGAAAAAAAAATAAAAATATATACATTGACTTAAAAGCAGATAAAAATAATTTCTGAAAAAATGCACAAGGTGGATAACACAGCTCACCTCTGGGGAGTGGGGCTGGCTGGCTGGCGTTGAGGGATAAGGCACAGAGGAATGGAAGGACATTTTTTATTGTTTGTTCTTTAAAAATTTTGGACAACATGGCAAGTCAGAGATGCCAGGCCTTCCTGTTTCTGCACTGGTCACAGCCGGGCACATACAAGGTGCTCGATAAAGATGGAGCACTAGCAAGACCACATTCTGGGAACCTGGACACCGGAGTTCTGACTTAGGGTCTGCCAACACGCACTGGGTTTTAATTTCTTCATACATAAATGTGGGGACAAGTGAGAGCTTTACAGCGGGCAAGGTAAGATCTTAGGGCCCCGCTGGCCTGTTTGGATTCTGTCTTTACCACTGACTAGCTAGCAGCCAGGTGGTGGGGACCCGTGCATGGTCATCAGAGATCCCACATGGCCCCAGTGTCAACTCCGGTGGAGTAGATTTAGGGTCTCACCTCCACACCATGTTGACATAGCAAGGGACCAGGAGTTGGGAGATACAGATTCAGTCCACATGCTCACTGCTACTAAGCTGAGCCTCCACGGTCCTGGGCCTGGGCTCCTCACCGGTGAAGTAACTTGCTATATAGTCATGGCAGTCTTGCAAGGGCTGGAGAAAAAATCCAGTGAGGCAGATGAAAGTTACTGTTACTTGGCTACTAATTAGTTTAGCCATGGGCCCTTGGTATTTATGAATGAATGACGTCAAGAAGTTTCCTTTGATGCAGTCCTGAGGCTTTGCCTGGGCTCTTACGTTGCTAGATTGATAATCTGGAGACACTCTGGTTACCTAAAGACGTCCCTTGTTACCACTCATTACCCACATGTGCTTCGCCAGCCGGACTCTCCTAGGTGCCCTATGGAGCAATGCATGCATTCCCCTCATTCAGGCTTTGAGTTGAAGGGGGAGAAATAAAGCAAGGTGTAGTTCCTGTATTTATGTAATGCTGATATTAATACATGCCACCTCTCAGCCTGTTCAGGGTTTTGAGTTGTTTCCTCTCAGTTATTGACAGTGGCCCCTAATCTTTAGGTCTGTTCTACTCAGCAATCATTAGTCTCGTCTCTGGAAGCTTCTGCTTTCACAGCCAGTTAATTGGAAAGTAGGTCTCACAATTTATCTGGAGTCTCTGCCCTCTCTCACTGTGTGCACGAGGCCGAGTGGTGGGAACAGCTCTGATCAGAGGCCCCATGTGAACCCCCACCTCCTGTCCAGCCCCCTGCTTGCAGTCGCCAGAGCCAGTTAATATACCCCTGCTCTTGCGGATCCTCTTCTGGGAGGACAGCTGTGCCGTGAAGGACTCACTCTGCCCTTTGCTCCCAGCTCCTGGCAGGTCACCCGAGCCCTGGGAATGTGCTGCCTCATTCGAGTGTCTGTGTACCTGGGGCCTTGGGCCATGCTGGAGATTCTGTACTAACAGTGGGATTTACCCACGGGGTGTTGGGCCGTGCAGTATCAGCTCCACCTTTGGTGGGTCTGAACACTAAGGTCAGCTGTGTAAATGTGACTGACCCCCAGTAAAACTCTGGACACCAGGGCTCGGGTATGCTTCCCTGGCTGGCACCACTGCATGGCGAGAGGATGACTGGAAGCTCCGAGCCTGGTCTCTCCCGGATGACCCTGCCCCATATACCTTTTCTGGCTGCTGAGTTTATTTAAAAATTTTTTTTTTCTTTATTGATTTTAGAGAGAGAGGAAAGGAGGGAGAGAGAGATAGAAACATTGATGAGTGAGAACGTCGATTGGCTGTCTCCTGCATGCCCCACACTGGGGATCGGGCCCACAACCTGGGCATGTGCCCTGACCGGGAATCAAACCTGTGACCTCTTGATGCAGGGGTTGATGCTCAACCACTGAGCCACACCGGCTGGGCCTGCTGCTGACTTTAATCCGTATCTTTCACCACCACACATCGCAGCCATGAGTAGAACAGCCTTGCTCACTTCTGTACGTCCTTCTAGGGAATTACTGAACCAGAGGGTGGTCTCGAGGCCATCCTGAACTTGGCAACCCCCTTCCCACTGACCGTCCTGGGAGCACTTGGCTGAGTGTGGGCTGCCGGAAAGCCAGCTTCTCTCCTCCGCCCATCACTGCAATGTTCAGGCTTCACTCTGATTTCATTCTTTGTTCCAGTCTTGAGACTCACGAAGCAGCGGTTCTGGAAGAAGCAACCTCTAGATTTTCCAGCAAGAACATCACTCTACAATCATCTGGACTTTGACAACACTGAGAAAAAGAAAGCCTTAAAACCCTTCAGTAGGAATCTTTACTTGGTGTATTATTTGCTTTCAGCACAAGACCAGCCAGTGATGTGGCTGTAGGGGTGGGGGAGTCAGCCCGGATTGTGTGGGTCTGTGGCAAGGTCCACACGGTGCCCCACATGGGGGTTTGCAAGAGGCCCCTTTCCTGTTCAGGGTCTCTCACCCCTTGATGGTACGCTCACTCTGGGGCAACTTCTGATGAAAGAACCCGTTTCAGTAAGGTCTAAACACCCTCTAACCAAGTCTATGGCAAACAGGTGCCTCGGGAACTTGGGGCTCCAGGAGGAAGTCCTGGAGGGAAGGGTCCCTGACATGGTGCCATCACTGGCCAGGTGTCCCGACCTTTACACCTAATGGAGGCCGATTTCTACAAGACGCATCTTGGAGCCAGAAGGAAAGATTAATGAGGCTACCACACCTGAGAGATCAGCCTTAAACCGACTGCTCCATTGCAGTCTAGTGCCTGGATCTGCCCTCCGTTGCCCCTTGCTCCCTCGGATCCGCATTCCACGCATAGTGCACGTGCATGCAGATCATGGTGTCGGGGCAGAGGGAGTGTACTAGAAACTTCTGGGACACACACCCATTTGATGAAAGCTACTTCCTGCAGAAGAGAGACACATATATAATTCTAGGGGAGTCCAGGGTGAAGGCCGTCATGGCCCACACAGCTCTCCTTCCATCCTGTCTGTGCCAAGGTCGCCAAAACTGTCTGCTATTGGCTGCTTTTGTTACAGGAATTGAGATGTCTTTGGTCATTACATGGGATGGATGTTAACTGAACCTGTCACCATGTCACAGTATGTTGTCACTAAACCCACCAGCACGTCCCCGCCCGCCAGGCCATCCTCTGTGCCGGAGGAGCGGCGAGCGCATCTGGCTTCGCAGCACAGCACACCCTGCACCTGCAGACCTGTCCGTGTCTCAGTGAAACGGGAGCAGATGGGTCAAGAAACTCATGCACTTGACTTGTAACCCTATACAAATCCACAAACCAAAGCCTAGATCAGCTCCAGCTCGTATGTAACTGTATTTTTACTAAAAAAAAAAAAAAGATTTTATTGATTTTATAGAGAGTGAAGAAGGGAGAGAGAGAAACACCAATGTGGGAGAGAAACATTGATCAGCTGCCTCCCGCACGCCCCCCACTGGGGATCGAGCCTACAACCTGGGCATGTGCACTGACCAGGAATTGAACCAGGACCTCTGAGTCCATGGGGTGTCGCTCAGTCCAGCTGGGCTGTAACCATATTTCTAAAAGGCCCACAGGAGTAACCTAGGCCACCTTTACCGGGAACTGGATATGATCAGGAAAAGCCTTGGGCAGAAAAAATGAATTCGAGTTTACCCTACTCCCCACTCCTGTTCTATGGAATTCACTTACTGCTTTTGTAAGCAGAAAAACAGGAGAGAGCCTGCCAGAGTGTGTGTGGGATACTTGTCTCTTTGCTTCTAGGAACTTCTCTAAAAACATGTTAATCTCAGTGGATTTCAAACTTTGTGGTAGTGGGATCCATTCCACCTCCAACCCCCAAAAATCTTATGTTAAAACCACTTCTATTTAAAAATTTTTTAATAGTTTTTCTTTATTGATTTTAGAGAGGGAGACATAGAAAGAAACATCAATGAGAGAACACTGATTGGCCGCCTCCTGCATGCCCCTCACTGGGGATTGGGCTCACAACCTGGGCATGTGCCCTGACTGGGAATTGAACCGAAGACCTCTTGGTGCGTGGGTCGACGCTCAACCACTGAGCCACACCGACTGGGCTAAAACCACATCTATTAAACAAGAGCCCTGGCTGGTTGCTCAGTGGTTACAGCATCAGCCTGCAGACTGAAAGGTCACAGATTCGATCCTACCCCCAGTCAGGGTTGTGTGGGAGGCAACCAATTGAGTTTTTCTCTCTTTCTCTCACCACCCCACTTCCACCCTTGCACTCTGTCTCAAAAATCGATGGAAAAATATCCTTGGGTGAGGATTAACAAAATAAACAAATAAGAGTGGAAGTTTTGATAAATTCATAGGTTCATATTAGTAAAGTTAATGAAAACAGAAGCTAATGAGTTGCTGGTCTCCAAAGTGTTTAAATGTGGTATAACATGTCTGAATTTTTTTTTAAGTAGTTAAATGTTACAGGATGTACTTTAAATACAAACAGCAGCTTCTGAGGTGTGGGTGCTGGCCACTGGACGAGATGGTTTCTGAGGTTTTTCTAGAAGCGCAGGGTCAGAAGCCCCTGCCCAGGATTCATGGCCACCCCCTGATACTGCAGGTCCCAGGCCTCTCTCCAGCAGTCCTGGGGCCCTTCATGTGTTCGTGGTCCCGCTTCGCTTCCAGGCCTCTTATTACAAGAAGCTGGCCTTAAATCGCAGCGTGCTTCTAAGTTCTCTCAAGAATTATTTTTTTAATTCTTCACCCGAGAATATTTTTCCATTTATCATTAGATAGAGTGGGAGGAAGGGGGAGAGAGAGAGAGAGAGAAACATTGATGTGATAGACACACACTGACTGGTTGCTTCCTGCAAGACCTGACCAGGGCCAGGGACGAACCGAAACCGAGGTACATGCCCTTGACAGGAATTGAACCCGAGACTCACTGGTCCGCGGGCTGATGCTCTAACAGCTGAGCCAAACCGGCCAGGGCTGTCAAGAATTTTTGAGCGGAAGAAGTTACTAAACACAGCGGCTTCCTCCAATTTCAAGGTGGGAGATGAGGAACACCTAGTCTGAGGAAACAGCAACAGTGGGAGCCGCAGCAGCTTGGAAGGGTCTCCTGAGCAATGTACCTGCCCCCAGGGGGAAGCAGGGACTGTGTGGTTCTCCAAACTACCCCACAAGGTTACCAGACGCCCAGGCCAGACACTGGGCAGGTCCCAGGGCCACCTGCTGCCTGGAGCTCGGTTTCTTCACTGCACCCCGGCTCCCACAGTGACTCTTCCAACGTGAAAGGGAGTCACAAACACCATCTGATAGACAAGGACACTAAGGAGCACAGGTCACAACCCACCTTCTGGAATGTTTGATCAAGTGCAACCACGGAGAGGTGAGGAAATCTCTATCCCAGGATCCTGGCGACTTCTCAGTAACAGCACTGTGAGGACAGTGGGCTGCGCTGGGCAGGGGTGGATGCCTACACCCCACGTTCATTCTCTCAGCAATTCTACTCTATTTCCAAGACATTAACGGCTTTTCAAGAATCATTTAAAACACAATCAGGGCTCAATTAATTCCATTTCCACAAACTGTGTTTCGATCCACATTTGCCTATTTAACAAGTGCGATGGTGGATATAAAGACACCTTTCCCTTTCCCTTCAGAGAATTAAAGCGAGCTCACGGAACGCTGGGGAAGGACCTGGCTCCGGCCGGCCGCACAGGGACACCCGCCCGTCCCTAACAGTGACTCAATCACGGGCAGAACCAGCTGGCCCAACACCATGGCTACATTTAGTTTCATGATGAGCAGTAAAATTCACATGTTCTTTATTTAGTCCATATAATACACCATTTTTAGAGTTTTTTAAAATTAGATAAAAGAGCATATTAAATGGCAAGTGTATGAAGTTTCTCTTCATAAACAATGTCAAAACAAAAAGTTTTGAGTTACAAAATGTTAAAAAATATGTAGGTACTTAACATTTCACTAAAGCATAAAGTTACAGATATTTTCTAAAGAAAAATAATTGTGCCACTTACCTACTTTTGCTGTTTCTATGAACTTTTTTATTCTGTACATAGGACATTTTGTACAAAATATGATGTCTACATTTTTATTACTTATTACCATAAAACAAAGATACAATGTATGTACAATAGTAAAAGGAAGCCATACTAAAGCCACACTAAAAAGACACTCGGAATAGTGACATTTCTGATGTACAGATACATTCTGTGAAGAGTGAGGATGCCAAATGCAGAACTTTATGAAGAAAAACAGTCACCAGTTTAGTTTTGATGTAGTACGTTTGAAATCAGTTTGGTACGGAATAAACAATGTGTCTATATAATAATATATAAGTTGAACAATTAGCACAGGGAATCTGAATACTAACTAGGAAAACCTTAATAGGCCAAAATATTAAATAATACTCTTGTCAAAGAAAATTAGTTTCTCTCAAAACTGTTTTTCCCTTTTTGGTGAATGTTTGTCTTCAATAAAGAGCAGAAATAAAACCTAGACAAAAGATGTTCTTAAACCATGAATTTCACACAATCACTCAAACACTGAAATTTTGCTTTTTTCCTAGGGCAAAAGAGTCTTCCAGAAAGCTCTCTCACAAACATACTGAACATCCAAAATCAAGGATATCTGAGCATCTGCCAGCCAAAGACGGAAGTTCAAACAATGGTATATCAAAATACGTAAGACGCTGCTTTATACAATAAAAAGCACCCTTTTTCCCTCAAAAGGAGAAGGCATCTAAATTTTTTAAAATGGTAAATTTCATAATGGTAAAATGGATATATACTCATCAAGTTTCTCAGGAAGTGTGTCTGCTCACAAAGCGGGTTTCCACTTTTGGCTGGCTGGGCACTCTTAATTCAGCACGTGGGCTTCACACAAAGTCCCCTCCCCCTGGGGAGTTTCCTCCAAGACACAGGACATACACATCGTCTGTGGATTTAAGTGGCAGAGAACGATGTCTGCTTTGACGTTTGAGTGGATACCAAGACCTCAATTAGAAGACATCCTAAAAGAAGCCACGTTTTATCTTTATGCATGAAGACATTTAACATTAAGTTATATAATCTTATGCTGGAGACAAAAAAACTCCAAAACAAAAAACTAGAATCACTTGTTTAGAATAGCAGTACACATCTCAAATAGCTTTCAAGCAGGATAAATAAGTCAAGATACTGGCCACCCTGAGAGAAATAAAGAACATACAAAGCACTAAGTTTAAAGACTTTTTCCTCGTGCTATTCCATCAAAAACAAGAAGCTCAACACATGCAAGGAAGTCTGGGAAATAGATAGCAGCATTTGATGAAAACTCAGACACTGTATTTTCCTTACGAGGTGCATACTACATGTGCTCCTTTCAACATAAGGACTCATCTGAAGTCATCCTGTCTCTCCAAGCTCTTAGAACCACGTCACAGCAATAATGAATGTCACGCCAGCATGGGGGTATTGTTGTGACTTTTGCCCAAAGGCAGCCGCAGTTTGCATTCTGCCAAGAACTGGCTGAACTCAAAACGTTCTCATTCTAGCTTTCTGCAAAGTGTGGAATTCTCAGAGACTCTAATTTTATTAATTCAAGAGCCTAGTTAAAGGGCAACAATGTGTAAGTACAGAAAAAAAATTCTGCAAACCCAAAAATGAACACAACGTTTTAAAAAACCCCAATTCTAGCCAAGGGAGACAGAAAAGGCTCCTGTAAAGAGATGTCTCCTATGCACTCACTCCAGGAGTCCTGGTGCTGGACCACCGACTGGCAAATATGGCTTTAGAAATCCACAAGAAGTCGGACACGGTGTACGTGTCGTTCCTCAAAGTGAAGGGTACCTCAGGGAAAACAGCGGCTGAGGATTGTCGCGTCCCCTTTCCTGTGTTAGAATGATGACAGCAAAAAACCATTTCAATGGGAAGAAAAAAACCAAAACAGAAAGAAACTGCTGATGTAAACAATCATGTGGAAACAATGTCAAAGGTGGTAAAGTCTTAAAGATATGAAGTACTTTTTAAAGGTGTTCCTTTGATTTGAAAAACATTGATATTCTCTTAGAACCACCTATTTTAAATGATCAATTCCATTTGGGTAGAATGTAAAGGTGATGACCAGGGTGCTTGCCTTAGCTCTGACTTTGGGACACTGTCATGTTTGGGGCCTCGACAGGGACGCTGTGGCCAGCTCTGCCTGGGTCTGAGTCACCATTGTTTGAACTCCTAATCTCGAGCTGGGGCGGGAGTGCGTTACTGCCTACAGGACGGGGGCGAAGAAAGCTCGGACTCTGAGTGTAACTGATTTGTATGGCACGAAAGTATGTTTCTATAGAATCCAGGACCGAGCCGACGGCGGGGGCTAGCGGCCGTCCTGGGACAGCAGCTGGTCGGCTCTGCAGTGAGCCTCCACGGCGTTCTTGGTGTGGGGGTCCTGAGGCAGCTCGGACTTGCGGCGCACCAGAGCCCGGTCCTTCTTCAGGTCCTTCTGTGCCTGGAATTACAAACGCAGTGGCGTTGGCTATGGACTGTGCTGTCCCCACAGCGAGCGCGTCTGCTCCATGTACAGGACAGCTGAGGAAGAGCACCCTGGGGCCCCGAATGCTAAGGGACAACAGAGGCAAGGTCTGTCTCCCGCGGTAATCACCCCCAGATGTCACGTCTGTCCCAGTGAGCACGTGTGCACAGTGCTGTCTGCTAAAATGGGTAGTTTTGCAGAGTGCTCAGTACTTCTATTCTGCAAATCCACCAGTTTTAGTCAACCTCATAAACTGTAAAAGCCCCTATTTGATAAAACGTCCTCAAAGCCATTCTATGGCTCTGTCCATTCCAGAAGCATTTCAGAAAGTAGAAATTTTCTTTGTAGGTAAATAAAAATGAATGAAAAAATACTTTAAACTGAATTTAAAGCAAAAAAAGTCTCAAACATCTATCAAATTTGAAAAAAGATACTTTAAGAGGTATTAAATGGGTCATGTACGGGGGAAAAACCCCTCTAGAACTCAGATAAACTATTATTATTTATTTACATAAAATTTCCTAACATTAACTGTACAAAAATTAAAAGACTCTTTTCTATCCATTCTCTTCCTGAAATTTACGACATTTGGGTTTTACTTAAAAAAAAAAATTAAGTGAATCCTGCTTTTGCATGAGAATTTGGAGAACTGTCTGCAAAGCAAGGGGCCTGTTTCCATTCCTATGAACAAATCAGACAGATGGCTCAGGGCTGACGTGCTAACAGCAGCGTCCAGGAAACACGACAAGCCATCTATCTCATCCAAACGTGTATGTATGGAAGACTGTTGACTGGAAACCGGAACCTGAACCAAGCCGTCCTTCCTGTCCGTGTCTCCATCAAAAAGAAGACAGTGTTTACAGAGGGTAAGTTACTCTGGTGGTGAACAAGCACCTACCAGAGGAAATTTGTTTTAAGTCGATCATTTGACAATGGGCACATAACGGTGAAACACCTCATGGTGTCCAGATCCCTAACTGTGGTACTGTCTGTCAAGTACACTTTGCTTTAATAAAAAATTCAAGGACCTGCAGAAGTCATACATGAAAAGTTCACATTTTTTACAGCTAATACTTTACTTAAGGTTCTTTGCAAATTTATCTACGGAAACAGCAATAATGTCAAGGTTTAGAGAGAATTTTGTGTGACATCATTTTAAGATGATTCTAAAATGTTATTTGAACATTAACACCCATTCATGGTAAAGGCAGGAGCTTCGATTTTCCCCTGGAAACTGGTGTAAGACAGCTAAGAAAAGCCATGCTCGTCAGGGGACTGTGAGGGGCACCAGCCTGTCGTGGTCTCAGTACTTGTACGTTTGAGTGCTTTCGTTTGTGAAGCGGATTTGCCTTCGACCCTTGGGAAACTCGGGGAAATTCTACCCTGAGTTTTATGCCCATTTCAGGGTGAGCTGTAAAAGAAAGCAAAGCGCAGCCAAACCAAACCAAGACTTTATGTACCTGAAGTGTTTCACGACCGTTGAGACAGGCGTTCCGAAGAGAATGCTTTACTAGAAAAAGGCAACAGCAAAGCCGTGGTGCTGGAGCTGGCAGGAGCAGACTGGGAGTGCAGCCCAAGCCCGAGAGGGCAGAGGGGCGGGCACAGTGGAGCCACTCTGCGCAGGCGCTTTAAATAGGTGTGTGAAGCAGAGGCTAACCACAAACCACTGGGGGGAGCCGGGGGTGGGAGGAGTCAGAGAAACAGGAGGAGAGCACAAGACACCATGCAGACGTCACCTAAGTGAGCAACACCTGGTGGAGGGCTCGTGCTGGTGGACATGCCGGCAGTGGGTGGAATGGACAAGACACACAGAATAGACAAGACAGACAGAGCCATGACTGACATCTCGGCTGCGGGTGCAAGCCAGAGAGAAACGGCCTGTTCTGCAGCATAATGGCAGATCTAAGAGACTAACTTATACAGTGAGTGGTACAACACCGGGGGTTGGACATACAGAACTGCATGTTTTTACTACTTAAATTAGGAGAGAACTAATAAACTTCTCTTAACGGACCCGATTTCTTGGTCTTCACCATCAATCACAAGCTGGAATGACAGGGAAAATACTTCATGTGCACATCAGCCTGTCACTTCTTTTCCTAAGCAGAAAAGCCTTAACACACGCTACAGAGTGAGTAAAGAATACCTTTACTTCCCACCTCGCGTCTGTCTACACCTTCCTGGCTGGCACTGCTTTTCTCCCGACCGACTGCTAAAAACGAGAATTGTAAACATTTTAAATGTCTCTGACAGAAACGTCTTTCACATGAAATTTACTAGTTTTCTTAGGATGTTCTCTATAGGGTTATACAAGTTTCTCAAAAGAAAGGCAAATATGGTTCTGACAGGTAAACATGCATCTGAATTTCTCCAGTTCCAACCAGCTCCATTCCACGGCCTGAGGGCCCCCTCCCCACCCCCTCCTGCCATACTCTCGTTCACCTCACCAGTCTCGTTCTGAGCCAGCACTCGAGTCATTTTTAAAGAAATGTGGAATTATTTTGGAAAAGTAAAATTAGCTGAAAATAAAATTAAAAGGGCACTGGAAATACTAAAGACTTAATTTTTAGCTAAAAAGCTTGTTATGTCAAATTTGGTCTCCAAATTACACAAACACATTTTTTCCCCTGAATCTCGGTATCTTCTCTTTGCTTTAATGATTTGAGAATTTCAGGAATATGACTCTAAACATTTTCAAATTAAGAAGGGTCTCCCACACCAAATATTACTCCTCAGAGACTGCACTATAAATATCTCCATCTAGATAGGCTGAGATTGGGGGTACGGGGTTTCAACTGATCCACAGAAATCCATAATAAGTCTTGAAATTGGGGAGTGTTAATCTTTCAACTTGATTCTTTTTGTGGCATAATTTTGGCTATTCCAGGTCCTCTGTATTTCCATATGAATTTTAGAATCAGTGTCAATTTCTTTGAAGAAAAAAAAAAAAAGCCTGCTGGGATTCTGCTTCAGATTGCGTCAGTTTGGGGAGAGCTGATACTTTAATGACTTCGAGTCCTCCAAGACTGAAATGTGATCCCCAGAAATTTAAAGGTAAGGGTGGGGGAATAATTTTTGTAAGAATGTCAATTATACAAAAAACTGTGACATGTAATCTAATTTCAAGGGTCATAAGGACAAACATGTTAGGAGTTCTCCAAAAACCACCCTGTCTACCACACCCTCTATCAGGAACTAAACAAGTAGATTAATCTCTCCCCATTACACATATAGGTGGCCCTCCCGAGGAGGAGACGCCCTTGCTTGGCACAGGCCGCCACACAAAGGCAGTGCTGACTTTCAAAGGTGGTCTACACAGGAGGACAATGCTATCTTGGTTTACATTCTTGATCAAGTTTGCGATCTTCTACAAGGAGGCCTGAAATCATAAAGATGCCTATGAATTACACAAGTATGTATTATGTTCATTACATTTTGGGCACAGCTTATTCTTTTCCTAGCTTTAATTATTAAGTCAGAGAATGTACCAAAAAGAAAACTTTTCCAACCCTAAAACAGTTAATGTGAAAGAACTGGCTCATCCATGTCCTTCTTGACGCTGTAGGGACGAATGTGTGGCTCCAGGTTCCCAGGCAGGCTCACTGGGGAGGCACTGACTTGGCTTCCTCTGGACGCCTGAGGGGACAGGCTGGCTGTCCTGTCCTTAGCACACTGTAAGCCGTAGAATCAAAGTGGTAATCAGAAAGAGGACCTCAGGTTCCTTCCAAGTTAAAAAAAATCAAGTAGGAAAATTAACACTCCCACAAATAGAAAAAAATATAAGAATTATTATGCTTTTTATTAGATCTGTTTCACTGATAAAAACATGAACTGTGAGGAGATTATGGAATTCAGCGGGATGAAGTAAAAGTGAGTTGCTGGCGCTTGCTTGGGTAGTTTTACCACCGCAGTTTTGGTATTTCATGAGCTGAAAGCAGCACACGTCCACCTGCTTCTCACTTTGACCTGTGGCCAAGGGCGGCTGGCCAAGCGGCGTGACCGTGGCCAGCACGGGCATCTCCTTCTGCAGCACCAAGAAAAACACAGTCCAGACTGGGCTGCCCAAATGAAAAGTAACGACAGTCACGTATGTAATTCCAAATTTTCTAGTAGCCATGTCAAAAAGTAAAAAGCAACAGAAATAGGGGAAATTAACTTTAATGTTTTATTTAACCTAATATATTCAAAATATTATCATTTCAACATAAAATCAAAAATAAATGACGAATGAGATGTTTTATACTCTTTCCCTCACAGCAGGCCTGGGCGTGCCCGAGTCTGAGCCCCAGCACAGCTCGGTGCCAGTGGCCACATCTGAATGTGCAGCTTGCATGGCTGTGGGTGGACAGTGCCCTCCAGATGGTCTGAGCATGTGCTCTGGGAACGTCTGATCCTGTCTGACCAGGTGGGGAACACAATTCACTTGACTTAATCAAACAGACGGAAACCCCGTTTAACAGAGCTCCAAACAATGGTAGCACTTACGAACCATCTGCACATAGTATCTGGTGCAGTTCCAGCCACTCTAACTTTTCATGTGTCAGAGTCCCAGTAATGGTGTCTTTAGAAACTCTTTCCCTGGTCGAAGGGGATTAAAGTTCACAGTCAGAGGCCCAAGTCCCCAGCCTGAGCAGGACTACATCAGCTTCCATGAACAGAACAGAAACGGAGGCACGCTCTCACTGAAAGGCTCCCTGCACATAGGCAGGAGCCCAGTGCCTGACCCTCCTTACAGCACACACTGTGTGTTCTCAGTTCAGTAATACGTCTATCTTTGGACCAGTGTGTGTGGGGGGTCTAAATAGGTATCTCCATCACAGTGGAAACAAAACCGCTCGAGCAAGGGTACTACATGCAGTGGTCCTGACAGAGCCTGGGCCCCGCAGAGACCCCACAGGCCATGCGGTTCTCCATGGGGAGGGAGACAAGGCTCCACCCTGGTGTCTGGGCTGCTGAGCTTGGCAGTAACTGCAAAGAGAGCCTAACAGGACTCGCTGGGCCAAAGCAAGTTGGAGGGAGGCAGGGGGGAGAGAGCGGCAAGACGTTACTGCGAAGCTTTTGACTTTTTGCTCCAGTTAACACTGAAAGAACAGTTAAGGGTGGGGATTATTACTGTTGAGATAAACGAAGACACAAATTGCAGGCACATACTTAATCCTTAAAAGCTGTTTCTAGCAAATCGAGCACTAAGATGCATGGATAAAATGTCCCCTACAAGGTACTAAAGTTTAAGTTTTAACTTTGGCTCGCACAGAAGACTGCTGAACAGCACCTCCCCTACATAATAGGCTTTTCAAAGCAAATCTACAGTGAGCGCCTCACAGCTGAGCTCTGCGCACTTTTACCTGGCGAGCCTCTTCGTTCACTGTCTTTCTCAGCATCTGCACATCTTCAAATAAGGGCCCATCTGTCTCCATTGCAACCGGGATGCTTGCGGTGCTCGCTTGACTATGTACTGTGTACTGAAATGCAAAGTGTGGAATCACTCTCTGTTAGTGCCTGGGGTCTGGGCACCAGGGTCTCCTCCTGGCCGGGCAGGACTTCCCACTGACGCCCCCCAGGGCCCTCTGCTGTCTCTACCTTTGGCGCCCGGGCCTTGCCGCAGACCACCTACAGTCCCTACAGTTCTGGTCATATGCGGGTGGGAGGGCAGAGCTGGCCTCAGTGGTCACTCCACTCTCCTGGCCTCTGGGGCTGGGGACAGACAGGTTGTGACACCCACTTCACAGCCTTTGGTGTCCTGACTCCATATGAGCAGTGAGGGCATGCCCTGGATTGGTCACCGGGGCCTTTTCCCCACTGAGACCACCCCTAACCTCCCAACTTTCACAACCACCTGCTGACCAGAGGCCCTTTCCTCCTTTCCTCTCACACCATCCTTCCTAGATCCTGCACCCCATTTTCCTAACTTGCTTCAGCCCCTCCACGGACCACATCCTTTGCCCACACCCAAAGTGCACAGATGCTGCCCCAAGCTGGGACTGCAGGGAGGACCAGTGCATCCCGAAGTCCAGGGCCTCCTGTTTGAAGAGCCCAGCCCCACAGGCCTCCCAGCAGCTCCCTTGCCACTCCCCACTGTCCCTGGGCTCTGGGCTTGGTATGAATTGCAGACAGGCCTCTTGGACTGTGTTTACCTGAGTATGACATAAGGATAAGAGCAGAAGGCTGCTGGGAGAGTTAACTCAGCCAAGGGACACTGTTAGCGTCTGGTGCCCACTTTCTCTGTGAGGGTGAGGATAAAGGGAAGAAACCCATGAGTCTGCTATGAGCTGGGTGCTATTCCAGGGGCTTGTCTTGGGAAAGACCCGTAAAGTGGTGCCATGGCCCATGTGACTGATGAGGACTGAGACATGAAGGGGGCAGTGAGGGGCAGCTGGTGTCCTTCCATCCCACACCCTCCACATTCTGCCTCGTGGGGGTCCCCTGCCCTCTGGCCTCCCTCCCACCCTGGTGAGCTTCCAGGAAGAGCAGCTAGTACCCTGGCGTCCCTTCTCTTCCCTACCAGCTTTCAGCTCCCACCTCTGTGATGGGGCTGTGCTCAGGCTGGCAGTGGTGCTTTTCGGTTTCTGTCCTCCTGAACCTGAACACCACCATCCCTGAAGCTTCCCTTCCTACCTCTCTGCTGTCCCTTGGCGACAGCCCTTGCCTGTCTCGTGTGTCCTGTGGGATCTCACATGCCATTTCTTGTTCACTTGTGCCTTCCACGCCCCCGTCCTTGTAATGGCTGCTCACTCACGGGAGTCACACCCTCACTGTTTCTTCAACACTAGTGGGCACAGGTGCCCTCAGTGCCCTCTGCCTGACCCGCAGCGCTCCTCCTAAGTGCCCGGCCCTCCAGGTCCCCTTGGCGCTGCTGCCAGAACAAGATTCTGAAATGCAAGTCTGACTAAGCCTCTTGGCTCTTTGTGACACTAACACCTGCACACGTTTTTGGGGACAAAACCCATACTTTTGTTCCCTCTCCAGCTTTGTCCCTGGCACAGAGCAATGCCAGCCCCTCCTCCATCACCCAGAGGCCACCTGTGCTGAATGGCTCAGCTTCCTTGCTGTCTCCTCTCTGACTTAAGCCCCTTCCAGAAGAAGACTGGTTAAGCCCTGGACTATGGCCTCCCAGAGGTGCATCACCTCTTTATGTACTGAAGGCAGGATCCAGGCCTCCCGCCATCATCACTCAGCCTGTGTTACAATCTGACTGATCGAACTGAACTCTGGGCTCCCATCTAGCCCCTTTGTGGCCGCAAGCTCCTCAAACCCGAGGGCTGTGTCCTGTTCTCATCTTTGTACTGGGAGAGTTCCATTAGGGACACACAACAGGCACCCATCTGCCCAGTGAAACAGCAGCCTGCTGGGCACAGGGGTGACGGGGAGATGGGGACATGATATGGCGTCTTGTCCTTATGGGCCTAATGGCCACTGGGCCAGACAGAAATGGCAGTAACCATAAGACTCAGAGGCAGCACAGGAACTGCTGCTGAATCAGCATCAGCTTTGGCTCCCCTGAGTGAAAATGGAACCTGAATGTCCTCCCTGGGCCCAGGGCAGAGAAAGTGTCAACAAGGGCACTATGCAATGTCCACAGCAAAATCGACGTCATGTGGCAGGACAGGGTCTTTACTAGGATAGAAACCTCCATCAAGGCTCAAGTTCACAAAGGATAAAGGAACCAAGGTCGTGGAGCTACACTTAGAGTTCACAGAAGTCACTTCGCACGAGCCCCACGAAAGTCAAAGAGACATAAGCAGTCAAATGCCACATGGCCTCTTTTGGTGGATGAGGAAACAAGTTATCTTCAACATCTCATGATTTTAAAAGTTAAATCATGCATGACATTAATACCCCTGAAGCTGCCATCCCTGTTAGAACAGACAGACCGACTACTACGAGGGCATTTCCTTGCCAGCCCCACAGGGCCCATGGGCACGCACGTCTGTGTGAACGTGAAATCCTTGCTTTGTGAAAAACAGGAACTGCCTGGAAGACTTCTCGACACACGTCAGTAAACAGACAGTGAATTATTGGGAATCCATCTTTAAAAAGGAAGCTATTAAATACATTCTCAAAAAGGCAGATTTGAGATCCCGAGCCAAGCTTTCAAAACCCAACTATTTTTGTTACAGAGACAAGAAACAAATTATTTACTTTTGTTGTGAACGGCAAGCAATGATTAGAACTCAGAAAAGATTTTCTCTCGAGAGAATTATAGCAAGTGCCGAGGCCTAATTTCCAGCGCTGAGAGGTTAGCCATGAAGTATTTTCCGTTTCCACACAGACAGGTTTGCTGGGTCGAGGCACAGGTGGTGTCAACACAGAGATGAGGAGTCAGGACAGCACTCAGACCAGAGTGCAGGCCCCCACAGTGAGCACACAGAGAGCAGGCAGACCCTCCACACTGCCCTGGTCACCAAGACACTTACAGAAGAGCAGCCACAGGGAGTAGCAATGTCATGTCAGAAAGCTCATGGAGAGCTCAGAACAGCACGCATCTCAGAAGGGACACCTGGCGCAGCTCCGCGGTGGGACCAGTCACGCTGGGCAGCACCGTCACCCAGCACCCCCTTCGTAATGCTGACGTTCATTCAACTCCCACGGAGTTATTTCTATGTTCTAGGTGAAACCAGTAAGACCAGACTCTCATTTGTACATATGTTGTGTTTTACCAGGGTGTTGATTTTGAGTGTGTAAGAATGGTTAGGGTTAGGGTAAGGTTAGGGTCAGGGTTAGGTCCTGACGGGCCTAGCTGGGACTTTGTCTGACTGCCCTTTGCACCGGCACCTGCCCAGATTTATGGTTTTACTGTGCTTTAAAACAAATGTCAGTATTTTAACCTTACTTTCAACATAAATTCTATCCTTTAAAGCAGATACCCATAGATATCTACCTAAATTAAATATTAATGCAGTTTCACAGTAATCTTAAAATAGCCTTTCAATGTAATGGCAAGGAATAAGCATCGTTAGACTAATGCTGGTTGGCTGTGTTAGGTAGACTCAAGACATACTTCAGCATGTCCTTCAGTTCTCTATGGTTCAAGTCTCTTGACCGCCGTGTTAGCAAAGGGAACACAAATCAGTATGTTATTATGTAGGTAAAATGTACACTTTTAACTCTGTGTTCATGTTGTCGCTTTTCATTAAATGTGAGAGTTTTAAAACCCACACACCAACTTAGATAATAATCACCTATATGTGCCTCTCATCAAAGGAAACAGACTGCTTACAATCTAGTTCACCTTACTGAACCTATTACAACTCCAGGGGAGCTAAGTAGCTCTCCTCATAAAGTAAAATCTTTTCTTTTCTGGGGAGTTGGAGAAAGCCTGAGAATTCTTAACATGCAAAGATTCACACAAATGCTCTTCAGGAGGCGCAGGCACTGAAGACCGACAGGATGTTTGCAGTGACTGTGCTCGTCACCGGACTCACAGACGGAACACCAAAGACCAGACCCAGGTCCAAGCCCGGCTGCCCCAGGGGCCAGCCCGAGTCAATGCTCCGTACCGAGCACAGGGCTCTAGGCCGGCAGCTCCAGAAGATGGCATCTGTGCCACCTGCCAGAGCTCGCAGGCCCTCTTGACTGCAATGGGGAAAAGGATCAGTTGCTCACATGGCAGAAGTCAGGCAATTTTTTAACCACAAAAAGCTCAGCCTACAGAAATCTAATTTTAGCAAAGAGAACATAAACTTTATACTTAATCTATTCCAAATCTAATTTCTTTCTTTTAGAATTTGACATTAAAAAGAAGGAAATATAGTTTGAGCTACAGCATCTATGACATTTACAAGAGAAAGCAAACCACAATCTTGGTCCAAATAGAGGCTGTACCCTGGTTTTGTTTTTACCACAGTATATTCATCAATTTCATATCTTATTTAAAAAGCAAAAGAAAAATCCTGTGGTAAAAGCTTTTTGGGGCAAAATGAGTACTTGTACAAAAGTTGAAAAGTATTTTTATTGCGGGTACTTTCATATACAGTGTCAGTGAGCGCCATCTCCCTCCTTCCCGTGCTGAAGCCACAGGCCTTACTTATAAACATTCAGTCACACCCTGGACGTTTTCAAGTTACTCTCTTTTTTAGTACCTGGGGGTTTGCTTTGGCTAGATTTTCTATTTTAACCCATGCTTCTTCTCGTTCTTTCATTTTTAGCTTCTCTCTGAAAAACAGTAAAATGTCATTGGTATTAGAGAGACAAATCAAATCCAAGAAACCATTAAAGGGAAGATACTGAGTGGGCAGTCACGAAGTCTTGTCTCCTTCGCAGTGGAGGTCACAATGTACGGGACACGAAAAACAAAAAACAACCAAGACTTAGAGTAAACAGATTTTTAAAAAGCTAAAATTTTAACATGTCTAAGAATGTCAGTTCTTAAAAACACTTGTAAAAGTTCTTCTTCTGTTTCCATCCTTCCCACTGAGTAGCTCCCTCACAGGATGTGCAGAAGAGATGAGAAGTTTATCTATAGAAAGTGAGGCTACACCATGGCATTAGGGGATCAAGGTGAAAAGAGCCCATGTCCCCATGCTGATGATATTAAAAAGGAGCAATCCGCCACCGTGGCCACTTACTTCAGTTTCTCTGCTTTAAACTGCTGAGTGCAGTCATCAAATAGCTTCTGGTTCATCTCCATGAAGAGTTTCAGTGCGTTGTATATCAAGCCATGTATTGTCCTATAAAAAAAGCTCTGTGTTGAAACTCAGAAAACGTGATCTTTTCTACCCACTTCCCCCTCCTCCTTGGCTATAATCTATTTCCGTTCAAACTTACACGGCTATTTCAATAGACCCACATTTACAAGTTACCTAAGCTTTAGTTATTTATTTTAAAAAATTTTAAATTTATTTTTATCCTCACCCGAGGGCTTTCTTTCCATTTTTGTTCAGCTAGAGTGGGAGGAAGAGAGAGATAGAAACATTAACGTGAAAGGGACACATCGACTGGGTGCCTCCTGCACGACCGGGGACGAATCACAACTGAGGTACATGCCGTTGGCCGGAATCGAACCTGCTCTGCAGGTCGACACTCTAACGCTGAGTCAAACTGGCCAGGGCAAGTTCCCTAAGCTTTGAAGCAAAGAAGCTGCTGCTCTGAATCACTCGCGCCTTCCCTTCTAGCAGCCGCACAGCCGCGAGTCCTCTTTCACTGGCACGTGCCCGACCTTGGGTCGCTCAGCTCACCACCCTGGCTCCCAGCAGCCGAAGGCCACCTTACTCAGAAACTGAATAAAAAATGTTGAAGCTTGAACAAGTAGAACTAAATTATAGACTTAATTACAGAGGACATTATAGGAAACACTTTATTTCCTATAAATGTCGATTTCCTTTCAATCTTACTCATCAGAGGCAGGAAAATGAATTTTAACGAGGCCTGTGAGCTCTGGCAGGTAGAAAATAAAATCTCCGCAGAGCAGCTTGGTCAAACTGAGCTGCAGGCTCTGACACACGGGGGCCAGCTGTTCTGTGCCCCAGCGGAGGCTCAGGTGACTCAAGTGCCAGCTGCCATCTGTGCAGCCATATAAGCGACCCCTAGTGAGACTGGCAGAGAAACTGTGCAGCAGAGCCTTGTCAACCCACAAAATTGAGAGCAACAGTAAAACAGTAATTAAACCAAAACCCAAAACAAAATAGAAACTTTCAAATCATAATTACTTCTTAATTTACTTTATAATAAAACCCAAATCATATTTAGACAACACTTAAAAAAACCCTTTCTTTCTGCCATGGCCGGTTTGATTCAGCAGTTAAGAGCATCGGTCTTTAGACTGAAGGGTCTCGGGTTCGATTCCCGATCAAGGGTACGTAGCTGGGTTGCAGGTTTGACCCCTGGCCCCCTAATGCGCAACCAATTGATGTGTCTCTCTTACACTGATGTCCCTCCCTCTCCACTCTATCTAAAAATCAATGGAAAAATATCCTCAGGTGAGGATTAACAACAACAGCAACAACAAAAGAACCTTTCTTCCTTTACCCTGGGCAGGAAGCATGCTCAGTCATGCACAGGAACTTTGCTATCACCCACTAAACTCAATACAAAATGAATGCTACAAGTAAGTTGTTCCAAGTTGACATACTAACAATGACTAGACTACACAAAGATGATTCCGGCTCCAAGACTGCGGTGAGTGGTCATGGGGTGCAGTCAGGCGCTATGACATGTTAACTTCACTATAATTAACCTTTACATCAAGGTGAAGGTCACCGCAAAGCAGAGTGCTTTGTGTACAGGCCCACCGAGGTGACGCAGCGGGTTTGGTTCCAGACCACCACTATAGAGCGAGTTGCCTTCAATTTATAGACACATCTGTAAAAAGTGTAATGAAGTGAGGTATGCCTGTGTACTAACACTGTCTTGATTGGTCATCACAAAACACTGAGCTGGGTGCCAACATCCTCTACTCTTCAGAGGAGGAAACTGGCCAGGAGCTCTAGTTGGCTGTGGGCAAACACCCACAAACCAGCTCGGACTGCAGGTCGGGCTGCTGCTCCTTGAGGCCGCTGGCCTGGCCTGTATGAGGGGGCAGGACTGGAGGCCCTGGCTCTGCTCTTCCTGTTTGAAATTCTGACTTACTGCTAGAAGATGGAAAGAAGAAAAATGAGAGGAGTAGAAAGTGCCAGCTGACACCCGTGTTTCTGTAAATAACACGAGCACCTACTCTGCCTGCCACGATGAGGGTAAGGTCTCAGATGAGCATGCGGAGAAAATCAGTCCACTCATCCTCTTCTGTGAAAGGCCAGGAGACACAGAGCAAATGTGAGACTCCTCAGGCCGCGGTAGATCACCTGCTCTCCAGCAGGGAGCACAGCGGTGGTTCCTGGTCACACAGGAGGGCTCACCAGGGTGAGTCACAGCAGAGCTCGAGGGCCAAGGACCGGGTGGCCACTGCTCTCCTGCTGGGGCTGAGCCCCGTGAACTCTGCAGGGACCTTCAACTCCTCTGGAGGGCACGTACCAGGATGGCAGGTGTGAACACATGTGGGCTTGGACTAGGGGTAAGGAAGCAAATTAAATGCCACACTTCTAGTCAATTACAAGTCCAATAAGAAATCAAAATCTTGTTTCTTAACCAATAGTTCAGACTTGGATTTCAATCCTAACTGGTTTGAACTATGAGTAGAATACACAAATGTAAAAACACACAGATGCTACATCTGATACTAATACAAATAACACTGAATGCAAACTGTAATTGAGAAATAAAATAAAAATGAATAAATAAAAACATGCAGACATGCTGATAGCCAGCCCTGCTTACTTGTTCCAGTGGGTCTTCGAGTTGCGGTACAAGGATGGGAACATGATGGGCAGGATCTTGGCCGCATTGTCACTGATTAGGCTCATAATGTATTCATTGTTCCAGTAATACAGTGCTCGTTCCGCCACCTGGAAGACAGGAAATGCATGCTTTATTCCAGGTCATGATGGAAATCATTCAGCAAATATCCTTCCTATTACACCTGTGAGTAGGATAATAAAGTCTACTACATTAGAAAATTATTACTATTTCTACAAATTCAAAATACCCTAGACCAGCTATTTTCAATCAGTGTGCTGCAAGAATTTTAAAAACATGCAATACCCGATTATTTAGTCAGGGCACTGTCTGTTTTCCTTTAGATTGTCAAATAAAAGAAAAAAGACAACACCGAACACCAACAATAGCCATCTGGTGTGAATGCCCTGTCTTAAACCACAAATATATAGATCATGTAATAGAGTTGCATCTTATTGGTTACATCTCACAATAAGGTTGTGTCTGCTTGGTTAGACACTATTATTATTATTCAGCAAATCAATAAAAATTATACCTATTTTTTTTTTCAGCAGATCGTCAAAAAATACATCTTTTGGTGTACTGTAGAATTTTAGTAATTAGTTTATGTGTGCCAAGAGATAAGAAAGGCTGAGCCCAGCTGGTGTAGCTCACTAGTTGAACATCAACCCATGTACCAAGAGGTTGCCAGTTTGATTCCCGGTCAGAGCACATGCCCAAGTTGTGGGCCCGATCCCCAGTGGCGGGCATGCAGGAGGGGGCCAGTTGATTTTCTCTCTCATCGATGTTTCTGTCTCCCTCTCCCTCTTTCTTCCTCCCTCTCTAAAATCAATAAAGAAAAAAAAGTTAAAAAAAAAAAGAAGGCTGAAAACCTCGGCCCTAGACCATAACTCTGAAGAGACTTCAACAAAGAGGCAGACTGTTTCTTGTGCACCAAGAACACTGGCACCACGTACTCAACATTTGTGCTAGACATTGGGCTACATGCTGAGGACACAAGTCAAATGAGTCCCCTCCTGCCGCCTGCTGCCAGTGACACACGCTCAGCAGGGAATGAGGCGAGGCAGCCATCCTGGCCACCAGGGGCTCGCAATCTAGTGTGAGGAAGCATTTGGTACGTCATCAGTGGGGCAGGGACTGCTGTGTGTGCGTGGGGAAATGTGGTCATGGAGCACACGAGGAGGGGTCCGAGGAAGGTGAGGGCACTGGCTGAGGGCAGCAGGGGATAAATGGACAGGGAGTGGCTGAGGTAACAAGTACACATGTCACCTGGAGCTGTGCTGACTCATCTTCCCTCTTCTGCTGGGTCACCAACTGCCTGGAGACCATGAGATTTTGCTCATTTTGTGGCTAGATTTTTACCTTGTTCATGATGAGTTTACAATAAACGTCTGCTCAACAACAGAAAAGGACAGGGTGGCCCTGGGCCCTTGTCCTGGTTAGGGTCGTGTGGGAGGCAGTCAATCGATGTATCTCTCTTCCCTTTCTCCCTCCCACTCTATCTGAAGATAAATGAAAAAATATCCTCGGGTGAAAATTAAAAAAAAAAGGACAGAGTGACAGAGTGGCTGAATAAAGCCACTGGGACAACCTTTGAGAAAGCCTTGAGGGTTTAAGAAGGAAACCAGGAAAAGAAAGTGGAAAGTGACTTGCCTGAGAATTCTATCGTGACAGAAATCAGGGCTATTAAGTTTTCCTAAAAGGTGATGGGAGACAAATTTTTATGATGTCAGAAACAAAGAACCTTAAGGAGGGGGAGAATTCAGAGCTGAAGGTTTTATCATCGTAGTATCTATAAATATTGATTACTCAGTCAGCTGTGGAAAACAGGGTTTATGCATTTCGGAGCATGCTGAACATAAAAACAGTTTTAAAAACAGGCCATTTTTAAAAAAATTACTGATTTTAGAGCAAGAGGGAGAGGAAGTGGGGAGAAGGGAGAGAGAAACATTGATTTGTTGTTCTACTTATTTATTTTTTCTTTATTGATTTTTTAGAGAGAGAGGAAGGAGAGAGAGAGAAACATCAATGAGAGAGAACATCAATTGGCTGCCTCCTGCAGCCCCCCACTGCAGATGGGGCCCACAACCTGGGCATGTGACCTGAATGGGAATTGAACGGCAACCTCTTGGTGCATGGGTTGATGCTCAACCACTGAGCCCCCCAGCCAGGCATGTTCCACTTACTTATGTATTCACTGGCTGACTCCTGTATGTGCCCTGACTGGTGATCGAACCTGAAACCTTGGTGTATTGAGATGACACTCTAACCAGTTGAGCCACTGGTCAGGGCAAGAAGCCATTTTTAATTGCTCTTATTGAGAAATGTTGTTAGTAATAGGAACAAGATACTAAAGTATATTTTATAGAATTATAGTCTTAGCATCTTATTCTGAAGTGCAATTAAAGTAAAACTTGAAGTTTACCTTCAAATCACATGAGAAGTACATGAATGGCCACACCCAGAAACTTGTCTCCAGTTACCTCCACAGGAGCTCAGCCTGCAGCTGTTCGCCGCCCCTGCGTTCCCCGAGTGCCCTCCAACCATGCCTGTACCTGGAAGTGCGGGCTGGAGACGCACTTGGCCAACTGCCGGAAGAGCGGCTCCATGATCTTGACAAATTCCGATGGTTCAATCACATCTAAAATTTCTTCTAACTCATTCAAGAACATTACTTCTTTTGGACTGTGAGTCTTTGGCCAGTATTTGAGAAGTGCCATTACCACCTATGAAAGAAACAGCACACAGTGTGATGTTCATGGTGCCCTGATGTCCGTTAAGTCTGTTTTTGCGTCCCCATCGCAAAGCAACAAAATAGGTGGTGCTTTTTTCCTTGTAGGAAGAACAGTGATTCAGCCGATTACTAACTGAATTTTTTATAGAGAAACGGGTCTAATTTCATACACTTTAGCACTACAATTTTAATGTATGTGACCCATTCACTCTGACCAGTTTCAGTGTTGGTTCTTTTAAATAAGTAAAAAAAGTAAACTCTCCTGTTTAGAGAGAAAAACCCAATGGACAAACAGGGCACATGAATTCTACATGTTTCCATGTCGAAGCAGCCAGTTCTAAAACTGTTGGTCACACATATACAGAGTCCATTTCTTTCTCAAATTAATTGACCCTTTATACACATTTAACACAAATATACAGACACTGTGTGTGTTTATGTATAGCGTTGTCAGTGGTGCTAAAACACCTCAGAAAGACATGAAATGAGCTGGTGTTATTAGCTCATGCCACACAGGGCTGCCGAGGAACCTGGGCTTGGACCCACAGTGCCTTCGGTGTGCATGACCTTGGACTGGTCCCCAGCCCATAGGTGCCTCAGAGCCCCCATCAAGAATCAGGGGCACAATAACCCCCACGCGAGGGCTGCTGTGAGGACCTGATTAGGAAATTACACAGCTGCCTAGGGACTGCTGGCCCGTAGCAAGGACCCCACCTAGACAGCATCTATGGGCCTACGCCCTTGGAGGCACGTTCAGTTCCACGGTGGCGGCTTCCTGATTTGTGGAGGTTAGGTGCTCCGTTCCCTGCCCAAGTCAGATGGGTAGAGCTTGTGCTGGGCAACCTTTCTTTATCATTCCTCTAGTTTCCAAATTTCCTACCACAATCATACCAGTAAATATTGTCCACCCAAAATATCAGATTTGACTCTGTGCAGATTAATACTACTTCTAGAATTTAGCCATCTTAAGTGTAAGACAGCAAAACAATTCAGAGCTGGCATTTACATGTAAGCACATGTCCTTGAGTGGCTGTAACTAACCTATGACTTGAAAGCTGTTCAGCCTCTGGAACCACAGCCAGCCACGGGCGTCAGGACTGCTGCGGACGTCACCGCGACATCACCGCCACGTCCGCTCCTGCAAACTGGCTGGTGGTTCCATCTCCAGTCATTTCCAGCCTGAAGATCACACAACTCACTGCTTTGCAGGCCAGCCTCCTAATCACCACTGTGGTTAGCGACATGGTGCCCTCTGAGCAGCACCCATTGACAGCAACTGTTTTGAGGCTTGTGGCATGCAGGCTTCTGGATAATCTTTGATACTGCACTTTATAAAATGCCAAAATTAAAAAAAAAATTTTTCCCCCTTTATTGATTTTACAGAGAGGAAGGAGAGAGAGAGAGAGAGAGAGAGAGAGAGAGAGAGAGAGAGAGAGAGAAAGAAAGAAAACATTGATGAGAGAGAACATCGACTGGCTGTCTCCTGCATGCCCCCACTGGGGATCAGGCTCACAACCTGGGCATGTGTCCTGACTGGGAATCAAACCAGTGACCTCTTGGTACATGCGTCGACACTCCACCACTGAGCCACACTGGCCGGACAGAAAATGCCAAAATTTATAAAAAGAAAGTACTCTTAGTTTTGACATCTGACATAATTTACAATACAATTGTCTTTAGAAGAAATTATTCTAAAAAATGCATCTTTTAATGATTTTCCTCCTCCTTTTTGCTAAAAATAACAGACATGTACCAAGCAACACTACACTCTGCTGCATCGGAACCACTGTTGCGTTCAGGAGGCGCACACCACTGCACAGCCCACAGCTCCTGGTCATCCACAAGTGCAGTTTACAGAGGACACATTCATATCTGAGCTGCAGAGCAGGTGATGGAGCTACTCGTGTCGCTGCAAAGGTGCCATTTCTGCGATCAAATGGTTGCCACCCACACGACCCCAATCAGGGCCGGGGACACACCCTAGACTGGCTTTTTGTACTTTCTGGAACCACCTATGATCAGATCAACAACCGTTTCAGAGTGCAACAGTATTTTGCAGAAGAGGACGTCTGCTCTGGCATGCTAATCCCAGGGGACAATGGCGGCTGGCTGCTGGGAGCACTTCAAGAACAGGCTTTCCTCTGCAAACTCATAGGTTGCTTACTCTCCAGAGAGCACAGGAGCCCGGGGGTGCGCCCGTGGCCCTGCCTGACATCGTGGAGAGCCCACCTCCTGATCTGGCACACCAGGGGAAGAGAGTTCTCATGAGGCCATGTGTGGCCTGAAGAGACTGACAGGCAACAAGACAGTTTTACTTCTGTCACCATTTGATGAGCTTCTGTTCTTATTACAACAATGATGTGCTCGACGTACCCACAATTTTGAGCACTGTATACAATTTGCAAATAAAAAGTACTAATTACAGATTACAAACGGGAGCAACAGATACCTTTTAAATGGATGTACTTTAAGAATTCTGGAGCCCCCAAACCAGAAGGAAAAAACAAAGAATTCTGGAGCCTGGACAGGTGTTGACTTCAGGCGTGCCTTGGGTGTGCCAAGTGCCATTGGTGGTGGCTGAGCAGACGTGCAAGTCACAAGGTCTACACCCTCATCTCTTAGAGATAAGCTTTTGATGCTTGAGACAGAATGGCCTTTGTATTTTCACAATGAATGTCAAAGAAAGAAATTTATTGAGGTAAGGTTCTAAATGTATTTATTTATTTATTTATTTATTTACTTACTTACTTACTTACTTACTTACTCCTCACCAGAGGACAGTTTTGCATTTATTTTCAGATAGAGCAGGAGGGAGAGAGGAAGAGAGAGAAACATCAATGCGAGAGAGACCATCAAATGGTTGCCACCCACACGACCCCAATCAGGGCCGGGGACAAACTGCAACTGGGATATGTGCCCTTAGTGGGAACCAAACCTGGGACTCTCCGGTCCATGAGCTGACGCTCTAACCGCGGAGCTAAACCAGCCAGGGCTGAATGTTTTTAATGTGTGGAAAATTAAACCTGCTTCCTACACTAAAGACAGTAGTCTTTTTTTTAATCCTCATCCTAGGACATTTTTCCATTTTTTGTACAGATAGAGTGGGAGGGAGAGAGAGGAAGGGATAGAGAGAGAGAAACATCGACGTGAAGGGACACATCGAGTGGCTGCCACCCGCACGACCAACCAGGTCCGGGGACAAACTGCAACCGAGGTACATGCCCTTAGCAGGAACCGAATCCGGGTCTCTCTGGTCCGTAGGCTGACGCTCTAACCGCTGAGCCAAACCGGCCAGGGCGTAGTCTTTATTTTATCCTCTGTGCTGCAGGAAATTAGGAAATGAGTGATTCTGGGTGGAAATACTGGGGGACTGGCTGTGTGGGGCCGGAAGCATCTCTGCACTCCAGCCAAGTTCAAGTTTTCTACCTCCTACTTGGTAGGACCCAGCTGAGGCCAGCATACCATCTTTTGCCCCCTTCCAGGCAATTGCCATGAAAAGCTCCCATTCTTGCCAAGTTATATTAGCTTTCTTAGTAGGAATTAAAAACATTTATACACTTTATCAGCTTTCATATTACTTGTAGGTGTAAGAGAGCAGCTGGAACCCGCTCTCTGAGCCTTGCTGGAGCAGAGCTAGGATGTGCCTCTGACACACTGCAGGGGCCGCGGCGCAGAAGCCTGCGTCGACAGTAAGCACGCACAAAGGAGAATCGAAGAAGGAAACTGCACACTCTTTTGCTCCTTCCATAGTTTTCTTTGCCTTTCTACTTTTGAAGCAGAAAATGGGCGGGGGTGTGTTAGAACTTCTTCACATATCACTTTGTCCAGTAAAAACTCACCTTTCAGCTATTTTGAGACCCTCAAAATAGAAGAATTCACATTAGGATGTGTCGTCACTGGAGGAAGACAGCAAGGCTTTTAAAAATTACTTGTGTCTTCTCATCTTTCCTGCCCTACGTACACATGTCTTCAGTTCTGTTAGGAGGATAAAAACTACAGGTCCTTACTCTAACTGGAGAAGACATCTTGTTTGATATGAACTCTGAAAAGACTTGGTACATTTCCTTGGGAGCTTCCAGAATCTCAGAGGTACGAGGGGACGCCAGGGAGAACAGTGCAGGGACAGGGTCACTCAGAAAGGGCTGCCCATTATCTCTGCAGGCAGCAGCTGAGGGACATGGTCAGGGCTGCTTCTGAATTTGTGGGTGAGATAGGGGAGCCTGCACACAGAATTTAGAAGCTTAAAAGAAAGCAGAGCTCAGAAGTCAGTTTCACTCAGACACACAGTATCAGGACTTCATGCATTTTCACAAAAAAAAACACTGCTGAAGGGACAGAAAACTTAGGAATCACAACAGTTACCTTTTCTATTCCAAGAGCAACTTTTAAAAGAGTACTCATTTGCCCTGGCCGGTTTGCTCAGTGGTTAGAGCTTCGGCTCGCGGACTAGTGAGACACGGGTTTGGTTCCGGACAAGGGCATGTACTTTGGTTGCAGTTTGTACCTGGACGGGGTCATGTGGGAGGCAACTAGTCGATGTCTCTCTCTCTCAAATTGATGCTTTTCTCTCTCTCTCTCCCCCTCCCTCCTAATATGTCTAAAGACAAAATGGAAAAATGTCCTCGGGTGAGGATAAAATGAATAAATAAATAAATAAAAGAGTACTCATTTAAACTGGCGCATAGTACTTTTTACTTTGTTACTCAATAGTAAAAAACAACCCAATTAAATAACAGTCAAAGGATTTAAAGATACATCTCCAAAGAAGATATATAAATGCCCAATATCATTAGTCATCAGATGCAAATCAAAACTGCAAGACAGCACCACTTCAAACCACCAGAATGGCTAAAAGAAAGTAAGTAGAAAATAACGTGTTGGTGAGGACGTGGAGAAACTGGCACCCTGTGCCCTGTTGATGAGAATGAACATGGTGCAGCCGCTGTGGAGAACCAAGTTTGGAGGTTCCCAAAAAAGCTAAACCTAGAACTACTCGTGATCCAGTAAATCCACTCTGGGTGCATACCCAAAGGAACGAAGAGCTGGCACTGGAGTTCTCTGTACACCCAGGGTCACAGCAGAATTGTTCACAGTAGCCAAGACATGGGAATAGCTCAAGTGTCCATGGACAGATGAACGACAGACAAAAACTGGTTCATCCACACAAAGGAATACCATTCTGCAATAGTAAGAAATGACGTTCTGACACCTGCTACGATATAAATGGACCCTGATGACATTATGCTGAGGAAAACAGCCAGTCACAGGACAAATCCTGTTATGATTCCACGCACATGGGGTCCCTGGAGCGGGGAAATTCAGAGACAGAAAGGAGAATGGGGTTACCAGAGGCTGGGGAGGGGGTGGGGAGTTAATGTTGCGTGCATGCAGAGCTTCCGTTTGGGTGATGACAAAGTTTTGAAAACAGTGGTGACAATTGCACAACTTTGTGAATGTCACTAATGCCAATGAATTATACACCTAAAACGGCAGTTTATGTTGTGTGTAAGTTACCAGTTTTAAAGGTTAGTAATATACTATACCAAAACCACTGAATTGTACATATTAATGGGTGAATTGTGTGTGGCATGTGAATTATATCTGAATAAAGCTGTTAAACAAAAAGTGTCTTCAAATGCTTCCCCTGGCACCTGACACGCCCGACTTTGTTACTCTAGGCTACAACAGCTTTTCTATTGTTAGTAAAGATAAAATGCCAAGAAACTGAAAAATCTAAAGACTGGAAGGTAGTTATGTGCACCGTTTATGCTGCGAGGATCAGAAAAGTTGCACGAAGGTGGGGAGTGCTCTGTCAGTAAAGCCTCTCAAGGCAGCACTGGCACCCGCACCACATCGCTCTGATTGAAGTCAGTTAGCCGTGCTGCTAAACCAAGACGGGTGTGTGTGTGTGTGTGAGCGTGTGAGCCCTGGCTGGTGCGGCCCAGTGGTTAGAGCGTCAGCCTGCGCACCAAAGGGTCTCGGGTTCCACTCCCAGCCCTGGTTGGGGTGCATGCAGGAGGCAACCAATCAATGTGTGTCTCTCACATGGATGTTTCTGTTTCTCTCTCTCTCTCTCTCTCTCCCTTCTTTCCCCCCTTCCACTCTAAGAATCAATGGAAAAATATCCTTGGGTGTGGATTAAAAAAAGAGAGAGTGTGTTAAAATGCACATGACTTAGTGGCAACAACTGCCCAGTGATTTGCATTCCAAACAATGAGGGACAAGGTGATGTCACAGTACAAATCTACTGCAATCAAGGGACCTAAAAGGACTACACCTGGAAAACCTGTAATACCAAGTGAACTCAGTGTGTTCAATAGGACTGTAACTTAAGAAAAAAGAGCTGACCAGCTGTGTGCTGAGCAGACAGTGGGGTGTCAACACTGAGTACCCTGCAGGCAGGTGGCCAGTGATAGCACAGCACAGGGGCACTTACTGGTTCCGTGAGGGTGCTGTCCTTCTCCAGAAACTGCACAACACAGTACGCCAGCTGACAAGTAAAGGAGAAAAGCATTAATGTTTCGTTTTAACATGGAAATGCCACTGTGTTTCCAGGACCTTAGCATCACTGTTTTGTTTTTTTTCTAATCCTCACCCGAGGATTTTTTTTTTTCCATTTTTGTTCAGATAGAGTGGGAGGGAGAGAGAGAAACATTGACACAAAAGGGACACATTGAGTGGCTGCCTCCTGCACGACCCCAACCAAGGCCAGGGAAGAATTGCAGCCAAGGTACATGCCCTTGGCTGGAATCGAACCCGCGACTCATTGGTCCACGAACCGATGCTCTAACTGCTGAGCCAAACCGGCCAGGGCCCTAGCATCACTGTTAAATGCCTTCTTTTGCTGAGACAAGGGTCTGACGCGCTCAGGCACCACCTGGGGGGTATTCCCCAGCCAGGTGGGGTGGGCTCCCCACTGCAGGCCAGCACAGCTTCTTGTCCCTCATCAATGGCAGAAGGTACAATGGAAAGCTAAAGAAATCAGGAAACTCTTTTGGGCTAACACCAATATGTCAGCCCAGGTTTGATGGGGATTTTTCTTGTTTTTTAATTTCTTTTGAGACTAATGAACTAGTAATCTGACAGAAGGAAAAAACTGAATTAAAATCTGGTTCCACCTTAAATCGTTGAACTCTTTTTTTTTTGTTAATCCTCACCCAAGGATATATATATATTTTTAATCCTCACCCGAGGACATTTTTCCATTTTTCGTTCAGATAGAGTGGGAGGGAGAGAGAGAGAGAGAGAAACATCAATGTGAAAGGGACACACTGAGTGGTTGCCACCCGCATGACCCAACCAGAGCCGGGGACAAATTGCAACTGAGGTACGTGCCCTTAGCGGGAACTGAACCCGGGTCTCTCTGGACTGCAGGCCGACGCTCTAACCGCTGAGATAAACTGTCCAGGGCCCAAGGATATTTTTTCTATTGATATTTTAGACAGAGTGGAAGAGAGGGAGGGAAGGGGAGAGGGGGGAGAGAGAGAGAGAGAGAGAGAGAGAGGGGAGAGAGAGGGAAGGAGGGAGGGAGAGAGAAACATTAATGTGAGAGACATGTCAATTGGCTGCCTCCCAAACGTGCTCCGACCGGGGCCGGGGATCAAACCTGCAACCCAGGTATGTGCCCTTGACCAGAATCAAACCTGAGACCCTTCACAGGGAAAGCCGATGCTCTAACCACTGAGCAACACTGGCCAGGGCTGAAGTATTGATTTCTAATACAGAACAATTAACATGCACCAACAGGGTTAAATGTAAAGATCTTACCAGTTAATGGCAATCAGAGAAAAAAGTTCTAAGCAAAATATTTTCCAGAAGGCCAATGTCATTAGAATCACCTAAAGAATATACAGTTGACTCTTGAACAACACGCAGCAAAAGTCCACGTGTAACTCAAGCCAGCCCTCCATAGATTCCCAACCACCAGTTGACCCTTGAAAAATGGGTCTGAACCGTGTGGGTCAAATGAAAAAAAAAAAGTCCATGCCAAACAAACCCACATAGCTCAAATCCGAGTTGTTCAAGGGTCCACAGTACTTTCTGCAACTGATCCCACATTGCAAACTCCCAAAGGGAGGCCCTGCAGAGTGGAGCTTCCTGGGTTCTGGGACACACTGGTTACAAAGAACCAACATGTGGACTGCAGGTGAGGATGAGAGCCCCCAATCCAGTGCACTGCCATCAGCCTAGCCGAGGTCTGTCTACATGGAACTTATTTAAGAGTGAAAGAAAAAGCAGTCTCCTGGTTACATGCAGTGGGGTTAGTAACCACTTATGGATCAACTTGTCAGTATGACTGTAATTAGATTTTTCACAAAGTTATAAAAATCCATACTTTAAAAACAAACCTTTTCACCCTGACCAGCATGGCTCAGTGGTTAGAGCGTAAGCCCACAGACTGAAGGGTCTCAGGTTTGATCTCCAGTCAAGGTCATGTACCTGGGTTGCAGGTTCCATCCCCAGCACTGGCTGGGGTCGTGCAGGAGGCAACCAATCAATGTGTCTCTCACATCGATGCCATCCCCTTCCACTCTATCTAAAAATCAATGGAAAAATATTCTCAGGTGAGGATTAATAACAAGAAGAAAAAAAACCTCTTCATTGGCCACGGACATAGAGGCCTTTTCTTTAACGTACTAGATTTTATTTTATTTATTAAGAAAATTTTTTTCGCCCAGCCGGCGTGGCTCAGTGGTTGAACGTCAACCCATGCACCAAGAGGTCGTTGGTTCAACTCAGTCAGGGCACATGCTCAGGTTGTGGGCCTGATCCCCAGTGGGGGGCACGCAGGAGGCGGCCAATTGATGTTCTCTTTCATCAGGAAGGGAGAGGGAGAGAGAGAAATATCGATGAAAGAAAACATCGATTGGCCGCCTCCTGCGTGCCTCCCACTGGGGATTGGGCCCACAACCTGGGCATGTGCCCTGACCGGAAATCGAACCAACGGCCTCTTGGTGCATGGGTCGATGCTCAACCACCGAGCCACAAAGGCCAGCTAAGGTATTAGATTTTAAATGATACTGCACACAAATTTTCCCTAAGTCTTCCTCGACTCTTCATCAAGCCTGTCGCTTCCTTTCCTATGCTTAAAACTCATTTTGAAATTCTCCATTCCTGAGATTTTTCTGCTTTTCTTAAAAGGAATCTGTCTTTACCTTCTTGTCCTTTCATTTATCACCAGAGTCTTGATATCTGAGTCATAATGTGATATAAGGAAGGAAACACCCCCAGTTAACAGGCTGGACTCAGGAACGAGTCAACGCTCAGGGAAGACAACCACGGTAACGAGCCCATCACTGCTGAGGACCTTACCTGGGGGTGGTAGACACTCAGAGATTTCACTTTGTGCAAAGGTAGCAACACCTTCAATAAGAAAATCTTGTGCTCTTCTTTTAGTGGTAAGGCAAATCCATTAATTATACTGTGAAAACAGAATTCATGTAAAGTTTAAATATTTACAAATTCCAGATTTTAAAAAAGTATCTTGCTGTTTTTCTTCCTGTTTTTGTATTCATCATGAAAACCATCAAGCAAAGTTACGTTTCAGAAAAAAGAATATCAGCAGAAATTAAAAATAAAATGAAATACCTTCAAGGAAGCATAGTCAATTTTGTCTTTGTAACTACAGGATAATTTTAAATTTCTGGGTTTATAGGGTATTATCTATAACAGCAGGAGTCTCTGGGGGGCAAAACCTCCTTTCTTATACCACAAAGACCAGTCAGCTCAGGTGGGAGCCCAGCTCCACTGCGCCCACACCCAGCACCTGCACTCGGCCTCAGGAATTCACTTTCCAGGAGAGATACTGGCTCATTATTATAATGCTGGCAGAACAGAGTCTGAGTGCACAGAATGGCTTTGGTTAAAAATCAGCAAAAAACCTGTTCCCTTCTGCAAAGAAAGGGGGTCTTACTCTTAACCTCCAAACTGAAGTTTCTGTTTCTGACATCAAGTAGTTTATCCATTTGGTTTATAATTAGGCAGGTGCAGATAAATGTCACTGAGAGCTGCAGAAGCAGTTAAAGTGTTTTCTAAATTGTTCCCCCATTGTTCACAAATCTCAGGGACGGGGCGCTGCAGGCAGGGTTAGTCTTAAGTGGCCATCAGGGATGATATACTCATTCACATGTGGGGAACATTCAAGGTCAGACCCCTCTTCTGGAAGGACAGAGTAACCAAGCCCAGTCGTGGGAGAAGACAGAGGCCCTGTGTGCACCACGTGGCTGGGCTGGACAATGCAGACAGCTCTTCCTGCCTCGTGACAACCAAGCAGGTGAATATAATTACCTTTCCATTTCACAGATAAAAAAACAGAGGCAGAGTGGTAACCTGCCCGAGGTCGTATGTAAGGGGCACCCACCTGACTGCTCACTATGCTCTACTGAGGGGGAGAGCCCCTGAGAGTGTGCTGACACTAGTCAAAGTAGAATTCTCCCTGAGGACTAACATTTTTTACAAATTACATCTAAAACAGTGGGGACATTTTTCTCAGAACTACAGCACGAGACCACTGAGCCACAGGATGACCTCAGTGTTCCCTGAGAAGAGCTTCTTCTGTTCCAATAGCTTTGGGAGTCGTTAAACACACACAGGTGGTCTCACTGCAGGAGTGCTCAGAGCCTCCAGCTGCCGCTGTGCATGGAATCCCGAGAAAGGGGTTGGAGAAAGCCCTTTCTAGCTCTTCTGCCTGGGGCTCCTGAGGACGCTGGGGAACAGTGGATTAGGAGGCCTGCCATAAAATCTATAGTCACCAATTTAAAAAATGATAGCAAGCAAGAACTTTACTTGGATTAAGATACAATTTTCAAAATGTTAATTATTTTATAAGTATACATATGAAAAAATTATAAAATCAAAGCAATCTGAAATATTAGCATTTACTCAATTCCTCAAATGTATAACAAATGATCTATTCTTCTTCTAAGTGTCAAATATAAATCTTAATGTAACTATTTTTAGCAATGCTCTTGAGGAAATGACTGAACTTGTGTTTCCACGGTAATGCTCCTGAGGTACAGGAGATGGGGTCTCCATGTGGAACTATACAAATGGAAGACATTTGTTACCAAGCATGTTCTCATCCAAGAGCTCACGGGCCCCTTCCACTAAGTGAGATCTTAAGTTCTTTTAATGGTTTAAGTTGCCTTGCTTTGGGGAGGGAGCAGTTGAACTCAATGAACTGGATCATTCGGCTATTAATTCCACCTAAAGCCAATTGCTACCAACAACAGAGACAACTTACCTTCCCAGTATTTCCAGTAACTCTGCTATGCCATTGTGATGCTCTGTTTCATAAATAAACCTAGAAAAAGCAATTTGTCATTCAGAAATGATAGTGAAGTAACAGCTGGAAAGACTAAAATCCTCTAAAAAAGAAAACAATTCTTTTAGGAGGAAAATCAGTGCAGCCAGGCAACAATAAGGACGATTTGTGAAGACCATCCCGGGCGCACTGTTCCTTGTCACCAAATAAACTCCTCATAGTCTGATGTGTGAACACCTGGAGGGCAGAGAGCAAAGCCTGCTCAAAAATTCTTCCAACAGCCCTGGCCGGTTTGGCTCAACGGTTAGAACGTCAGCCTGCGGTCCACAGAGACCCGGGTTCAGTTCCCGCTAAGGGCATGTACCTTGGCTGCAGTTTGTCCCCGGCCCTGGTTGGGTCGTGTGGGTGGCAGCCACTCAATGTGTTCCTTTCACATTGATGTTTCTCTCTCTTCCTCTCTCTCCTTCCCGCTCTATCTGAGTAAAAAATGGAAAAATGTCCTCAGGTGAGGATAAAAAAAAAAAAAAATTCTTCCAACATTTTATTTAGAAAGTTTTTAAACAAAAAGTTGAAAGAATTTTACAGTGAGCACCCGCTTTTCAACCAAGCAGATTCGACAATGAACAATCTGCTGTTTGCTTTATCAGATCATTCCATCCACCCCTCTCCACCCATCCATTAATCCAGCTTTTTGGGGGGCTGCATTTCAACGTAAATGGATATCTTAATCTTGAAGCCTCCAGTATTTACAGTCTCTGCAAAGGCAGAAGCTCTTTCCTGACCACTTGGGCCGCCTTGTTGCTTCCCTGTAGCACCCCCACATTGGGTTGGTCTGAGGACCGAGATTCCCGTGCCGGGACCCAGCCCGTCATTCGTCCGATACCGCAAATACATCTGTTGAATTAACTGGGACAATGAGCAGAACAGGGACACAAAACAGGAAGATGCCTTCTTCCTCAGATGATCTGCTCAGAAACCACCAGCCCCTGTCTCACACTTGCTCACCTGGCATGCGTACCAGGGGTGGGGAACCTTTTTTATGCCCAGGGCCATTTGGATATCTATAACATCATTTGCAGGCCATACAAAATTATCCACTTAAAAATTAGCCTGCTCTATTTGGTCAGGCTAACTTGATGAGGCATGTGATGTTAGCTGGTATTGATTTTGAGGGCCTTATATGGCCTGAGCCCAGTATTCCTGACTTGGGCTCATTTGGCTGGAAGTGTGGTGTCAGAAAAGGGTTTCCGCCCATCAGACTGAAACAGTTTAGAGATAGCTCTAAGTAAAAAATAAGAGTTTGAGATTTATAAAGAATCTGACTCACAGTCCATTGTCCTAGTTTGAAAATACGGTCGAGCCCCCGCAGGATGGGCCTAACGTGCACTATAATACTGTGTCCTGAGAGAGGATTCCCACAGAGTTTCTAATCTGGGGGTGTGGAGTGGGCAGAGAACTCATTTAGCCAGAACAAAGGTCTGTGACTCGCTCGGAGTGGGTAGCGGGCAACTAGTGGGAAAGTGGACAGGGTGGCCCGTAGAGGCTGGAAGCCAGCTCAGACAGACTACAATCTAAGCCCACAGGCCTCAGGGTCGGCGAAAATGACCCGGAAGCGAATGTGATGGCAACATAAAGACGGGCAGGGAAGTGACAGATGGACGCGGCGGACTGGGGAGGGATGAGGGCGGTACGGAAGTGTCCAAGCCATGGCAGACACGTCCCTTCATTGCACGTCAAGCCACAGCCTCCATGGTTGTCTACAAGAAGCACTTTAATTCATGAAGCTCAACCTGAAGGCTCCCTCTGCTTTACTGGTTTAAAACACTCAAAACAGTTCAAGTGTACAAAGCTACAGCTTTGTATTCAGTACAACGTAGCCACTTCCTATAGTCCCTCTCACTTAGACCTGGGGGAGCCGAGCCTGAGACAGACGAGCCTGCCACCCTCTCATCCACACAGTGCTTCTGGTCTGGCTCTACCAGCTTTAATGTTCAAATAAGGATGACTTTCAGCTATGAGCCATTTTGTATTCCTAAGCCAACCATAATATTTCTTATTGCTAAGTTCTTAATTTCGAATTATTTTAACCCGATTTGAATAGGTATAAAAAAAGAGGAAATAAGCATGGCGTTCCTCCTTACTTTTCCAGCGGGAGACAAAAGAGCAGGGTGCGAAGTGGGAGACAAGCCACGGAGGTCCATCCAGAGTAAAAAAGGAGTCAGGACTCTAAAAACTGCTTGTTGTAGACGGTCGTGGACCGATGAATTCCTCTCCGCCCTGTAGGGTGAGTCCTGCCCTCCCGTGAAGAGGTGTAACTACTTCCTGCTCCTCTGTGTCTGGCTGTCCTGTCCTTGCCTGAGTGGCTGGGACCAACACTCCAGGTGGAGGTCTGAACCACTTCCGGCCACGCCCCCAAAGCCTGGCAGCCCAGCTCCCCCTTCTGGGAGCTGCTGTGGCCACAAGACATCACACTGCCCTGAGCCACTGCGGCCATCTCAGCCCCTGTGGACACCTGGTGCCCCAGTATAGAATCGTGAGAAAGAATAAACTGTGGTATTCAGCCACTCAGATGTGGGGTGGTGTGCTATGCAGTAGGGGACTGAAGCCTGACCCCACCATAGCCACCTAACCTTTGGGGTCCACTGTTTGCCAAACAGGCATTACTGGTATCTAGAGCTCTCTTTAAACCACATCTTATAAATGCTGATTAGAATGAGAAACTACAAATAGGAACTTTGTATTTACATTTCAGTGAGTTGAAGCAATTATGTTTGACACATCCTTTTTCTTGTATAAGACACAGCTGTACTGCAAAGAACTTCGATGAGCTGAGTGTCTCTCTCAAGGTCGTTCCCCTTAACTGTTTTCTCATATGAAACTAGGAGAAAGTGGTGTTGAGGGTGGAGACCCAATCAATTATGGAATCTACCTGATATGCTTACTTTTTTATTGTATCTATCAAAAATGATAATTATAGCCCTCACTGGTGATGCTAAAGGGTAAGAGCATCAGCCTGCACACCAGAGGGTCTCAGGTTCAATTCCCAGCCAAGGGCACATACCTGGGTTGCAGGTTCGATCCCGGGCCCCAGGTGAGGCTTGTGCAGGAGGCAACCAATGGATGTCTCTGTCTCTCACATCTATGTTTCTCTCTCTCTCTCCCCTCCTTCTTCCCCCTTCCCTTCCATTCTCTGTCTCTAAAAAAAAAAAATCAATAGTAAAAATGTCCTTGTGTGAGGAAACAAAAAATAATAATTTTGTGATTCTGTTATCTGAGTACAACCTATGTTTAAGGACAAGAACCTACTTTACATGGCGTTTTAATTTTAGGCTTAAAAGAGCAGAACTTAAATTGTACCTCTGCTTTAAGTATATTATGTTAAAAAAAATTTTTCCCCCTTTATTGATATTAGAGAAAGAGAAGAAGGGAGAGGGAGAGAGAAACATCAATGAGAGAAAACATCGACTGGCCATCTCCTGCACGCCCCCCACTGGGGATCAGGCCCACCACTTGGGCATATGCCCTGATCAGGAATCGAACCAGCGACCTCTTGGCGCACGGGGTAACCCTCAACCACTGAACCACAGTCGTCCCTTGCCACTTTGCGCTTCGACTTTCCTGGCTTCACGCTATCAGGGTGTGGTGCGAAGTGGCGAGGGACGACTGTATATAAATAAAGAATCCTACTTCATGGAAATTCATTTATTGCGGTAGAGTCTGAAACTGATTAACCGCGATAAACGAGGGCCAACTGCATTATGTTTTGATAGGAAAGTACATCAGCCGAGTGATGACTTGTTCACAAGGAGATGTGACACCAGAACATGAACCAGGAGCAGCATAGGAAGCATGACATCACTGTCTGGGTGCTGGGCTGTGCCTGGCCTGGACTGTGACCCAAATGGATGCAGGGGACCTGGAAGGAGCTCAGGGAGAAGCCACGCTCACTGGAAGGCTCTGACCTCGGAACGCCATATTGAATGTGAAGATGGGGGAGAGGGTTACACCCTGATGACTGCAGAAGAGCGAGCCAGGGAGACTTCAAGGACTGGGCTGTACACCAGGGCCAGGCTGTGGGTCTCGGTCGTGGGACTGGATTTGTCGTCCACTCACCTCCCTTGCTTGGTCATAGCATCTGAGGGAACCGCCTGGCCTCCATGGTGCTCCGGCCGGGGTTGTCACTCTCACTCTGGCACTGTAACTAGACTATCTCACAGAGGGACCTGAACACTATGCCTGTCACTGCTAGGACCTGTCACTGCTGGGAGCCATCCTGGAGCCAGGGGCCTTAGGGTACGCTGTCCTAAGAAGCCAAAATTCATAGAACAAACTACTAATTTAGTAAGCCTTCCAGGGACAGATAAGAAACTACATGAACTGTTTTGTCCACCAACATTTATTTGGTGCCACCATGGCTGGGCACAAGCTGGCATGGGGTGTGTGACAGAGCAGATGACACGAAGCCTGCCCTCACAAGAAGACTGGACTCATCCGCCAGGCCAGGGAGGCTTTCCTGGTGAGCAGATGTTTCTGGAAGCCCGGGAGGTGGAGGAGAAGGGCTGGTGGAAAAGAACGTTGAAGGATAAACAAGGCTGCCAGGTGGTAGTGTGGGAGGCACCAAAACTGAGCAGAGAGCCAACTATGAGGAGCCTGGCCTGTGGAACCCAGACCGAGGGCCCCATTCAGGACTTCACACCTGTTCACAAAGGGCATCGACCAGCGTGCCTCAGCAGCAGCACAAAGATGAAAGGATGTCGGAGGGATGCTGAGACTGGGATGGGGAGGGCGGGGTCAAGGTGAATACTGCACTTGGAATACTGTGGAACATTCCGTCATGAGCTGTGGGGCTGTGCCCTCCTCCACGTAAAGTCCTGTGACCAGCTTCCCAGTCTCCGTGGTCCTGCAGGCCCAGGGTGGCTGTGACTGCTGCAAGCTGCTCCCAGCAGGGCCGCCTTTCCCTGGGTGCTCAGGGCAGTCTCCAAACCTCTAATGTCAGTCTCAGATCTCCCGAGACTTCCTAAAGATTCACTCCTCACTCCTCCTTTCACTGAGATGCAATGGGGAAGAAGGAAGGAACCACAAGAAGAAGGAACAGTCCGCTTTGAACAGATCACTGTTCCGCCTTCCAGAGGGACAAAAACCGAAACAAAGGAGGGCGTGTCAAGGTGCTGGGAGGGGTTGGGGAGGGGTACAGGGAGGGGATGAAGAAGGGACAGGGTCAGGCCAGCCCAGCACACAGATGTAGGCGTAGATTGGAGCCACCTGGACCTAAGCAGCTGGCTGTTTAGAAACAGCCACCGCTGCTCCTTGGTCACTTGAAAGGAATGATGAGGTGGAGGGCATTAAGTATAAAAAGGAGCATCACTGTGTGAAAAGAGAAATGACACCCACACTGACTTACCTATAAAATATATTATTTATCTGTTTTCTGATGTAAGCTCTTAAGCCTAAGAATTTTCCGTAGATTCTGTGAAGGGTAGTTTTAAGAAAATCTCTCTCTCGAGGATCTTCGCTGTCAAAGAGCTCTAAAAGCTTCAAGGAAAAAAAGACATTTAGTGACTTGGGATTCTCTCTGTAAATTAGGGATTTTGTGGTTTCAGCTAATTTGTGCCTTACCTGCAATACAAACTTCTGATCAATATATTTCTTCGCTACATTAGGTTGGAAATCTGGAGACTCTAAAAATCTTAAGAAAAATTCATAAACAAGCTAGGAGAAAACAAAACAAAACAATGAGTCAAAAAAAAACCCCCAACATGGTATTTTATTAAATGGAGATTAAAAATATACCATGAGTTGAATGTGCATCTGCAAATATTAGCTTTCAAAAAGCCATATATCTATAGAATTAATGCCAAATTACATGGTTTAATTTAATTATAATTGATAATTATTTTATTTCGCTAAGAAGCACAGACCATCACCCTAAATGGTATTTAAACAAAATGATTTTCACGCTGATGTCACCAATGCTTAAATTATGCTGTTCAGAGACTACAGTGCACAGCAGCCAAAGCTGGGCTGTGATCAAATTCTGGGTAGGATTTGTAGCCTATCACCTCCAAGTGTCCTGGGAGAAGCAGGCAGATAGAAGCTGGGACTGGTTGGTGGGCAGATGCCACAGGAGAGAATGTTCTGCTACTGAGATAGCCCTCCTTTTTGGTCTGCTCCCCACCTGTCACCTCTCCATCTCCCCTCTTAGGACAACCCAGAACACCCAGTCCAGCACTCTGCTCAGGGTGGTCTCAGCACCTTCCCACAGGCATGCTCCCAACCTCTTGCCTTACAAATGCTCTAGAAAGGCACTCGTCAGCAGGTGAGCTTTGAGGCACATAACAGGTGCACATTAAATCTAAGTACCCCAAACCAGGAAATGTCTGGGTGAATCCCCCAGGCCTCAATACAAAGACATACTGATACTTCCCTATCTCTGTAGTTAATGTACAGCGTCCACACAAAGAAAAACCATTCAATGCTCTCTTCTGCTAAACACTTTTTTTTCATGTACACACAGGTGCGCAAGGCCTATGCCAGGTGGTCAGAGGTCCACCTGCAACCAGCTGGGGTGAGGCCCTCGGGCTGGTGCACCTGCATTAGACGAAGACCCCATGAACATACACATCTCACTAATGCCCGTTTCTGGAGCATTCCCGAGTTCGGTACCTGAAGGTGAGGCCAGGCTGCTTCTAACGTTGGTTCATCTTCCTCTGGGTCAAACTCTGCTCCCGTAGGATTGGAGGAAGGTGGTAATGTTCGAAACATGTTAACTGCAAACTAAAATCCACATATTCTATAATTATAAACAGGACATTAAAAATATTCACAAAAACATTTAAAAAATCTTAAGTAATTCTAATGAGAGCTGATTCCAGTGTTTTTTATCTATCTCAAAATTCAGAAGCAGTGTGGCGCCCCAACAAGATCCTGGTCAAAACCACAGCAGGAAACATGGGTGTGGACAGACCCAAGATGCCTGCTTGAGTCTGAGCTGTCAACTTCCACAGTCAAACAGCACCTACATATGTGACAGGACGTGATGATGTCTACTAAGTGCAAAAGCAAGAAAAGGAAGAAAAGGGAGAGATTATGAAGGAAAGAGCAGAGGTTAAGAACCGAAATAGGTGATAGATGGCAAATACCACTGTGAGCTGGGATGGCCTGCTACTAATACAGAGTCCTCTGCAACCGACACCAACAATGACAGTCAAGATTGGGGACTTCCAAGTGCAGGGCTAGAGGGTCACTCCCAGAGAGGCTGCACGCTGGCAAGAAGAATCGGCACAGGACAGCCTGGCTGTATGTCCAGGGACCCGACAGTTACGAGTTTCCTTAGTGTGTTTGGACTCACACAAAAATGACTTAGGAAGAAGAAATTTCCCCATGGTTTGGATAATTCCCTCGTAGGACTTGTAACCCTTTTCTCAGATCTTCATCTTTTAATTGCCTGTCACCAGTCCCCCCATCCCAGGCTCTGTTTATTTTCGACTTCATAAAAATGAATCAATATGTTTCAGAACAGATGTTTTCTGCATTAGGTCGATGGTTCTTTGGAGCACAGGTATGTTTCAATGCCTGTATGATTAATATGAAAAGTTCTCTCTCTAAATAAAGCACAACATAATTGACACATTTGTGATACAAAAAAAGTTCAGTTTTTCTCTATGGTCAATGTTTTTTGGTAGTAAGTTTAAACATGATCAGCCCCTTACTGAGTCTGAACCTACCACCTGTACAGAGCTGGCTTCTTACAGGTAATCAGAAAAGCCCTGGGTCCCACCACTCCCCAGAGCACAAAATCAAAACACTTGACCCTAAAGATGGAACCTGACTCCATGACAACAGTTAGAATGTATCTGCGGGGGAGAGTCCAGGACGTGCCACCACCGAGTTTTGTCCTGTCTTCACTGTTACTGATATCGAAACCCCAAACTGTAACATCATTTTTCAGGAAGAAAAACGTCCCCGTTTAAGTCACCAGCCACGAGAGCCCTAAGCATCAAGTCTGCTCTCTGTGTCACCAACAGTGTGGGTTGATGCAATGACTACATTGGGCACAGAGACAGTGCAAGAGTGGAAGAGATGAAGAAATGGTTGGAAATCCAGAAACGAGTGGTTGGAAAAATGTGTAGTAAAAATTTGAGTATTGCCCTGGCCGGTTTGGCTCAGTGGTTAGAGCGTCGGCCTGCGGTCCTGAGAGACCCGGGTTCGGTTCCCACTAAGGGCGCGTACCTCGGTTGCAGTTTGTCCCCGGCCCTGGTCGGTTGTGCGGGTGGCAACCACTCAATGTGTTCCTTTCGCATCGATGTTTCTCTCTCTCTCTCTGTTCCTCTCCCTCCCTCCCACTCTACCTGAACAAAAAATGGAAAAATGTCCTTGGGTGAGGATTAAAAAAAAAAAAAAAGAGTATTATTCCTAAGACACATTAGAAAAAGGAAGGAACCTGTGACCAGGTTGTGTGTACAGGGTTCAGAAGGGCCTCTAAGACAACAGGTGATTAATGGACCAAGACTGTGACAGGTATTGCCAAGTAGATGGCATGTCCTCAGTCACTAGCCCAGTATACTCCTGGCACCCTGACTCCAAAAGCCCACACAAGACAATAAGGGGCCCCAGAGAGCCCCCCCAGTAAGGAAAGGCCACAGCCTGGGTGGGCACCATCACCTCCAGGAGGAAGAGCTCTCTGGCAGAGAGGAGAGTGTCATTTGTGATCTGGGGTTTTCTACCCTCTCCCTCAAAGCCAAATGACTGGGGGGCTCCAAGAGAGTCATCCAGAGATTGGAGGCTGGTGGGTGGCAGCCACAAGCTGTGTCCCTGGTGGCAGAGGTGTCTGTGAACACACACTGCCTGCCTCTTTTGAAGACTTCAGTGGCAGATGTGCTGGAGCAGCCTGTGACTTCAGGGTGCATGGCACCTGGAGGGCAACACAGAGGCTGGGGGAGGTAGGAGGAGCAGTGAGGATACCAGAAACTGCCGAGGGAGTGATCAGCTCACCCAGATAGGGGCTAGAGGTGTGGAGGAAAGGGGAGGAGGCTCCCTCTGGAGGGTTTCCGGAGCACACATCCCCATAGGAAAGAGCACCACATGGAAGAGGTCCAGGCAGCACGCAGCAACACACAGCCTCCCTCCCTCACCCACCAGGCTGTTCACTGGAGGGGCACAGATGAGGCTTGAGTTGGGGGTTAAAGCATTAAACTAGGTGGGACAACTATAACTAGAGATGACAAAAGGGGCAGGAAAGGAAGATTTCACAGACTATGGATAAGGACAATAGTTAGTCTTAGAGTACCCCATTATTCAGCCAAGCAGTAATGTGTCACTATGAAGGTAGGTAGTAGCTGTTGGTGTCCAATTAGTTGACTTGAATAAGATTACGCTCAAGAATGTGGGTGACCACACCCAGTCCGTTGAAACGCCTTACAAGTGACACTGTGGTCCCTGAGAAAGAAGGAATCTCACGTGACAGCTGTCAGCCCTGCCCTGGCCCAGCCTGGCCCCACCTCAGTTTGCCTTGCCCAGTCGCCTCCACATGCATAAACCAGTTCCCTGAATGCTCCATCCCTCTCTTTCTGTCTCTACCCCGCTGGTCTGACTCTAGTTACATGGTGAAGTTCATGCACAATGTTCCGTCAACCTCCGCCCATCCCCAGCACCTGCACCTTCATGGAGTCCTAGATGCTGAGACAGGAGGCTGCAAGGGGGCATGGACCAAGTTGCTTTTATCAAATATGTTTTTATAGATTTTTTTGAGAGAGAGGAAGTTGAGGGAGAGAGAGATGGAGAAACATTGATGTGAGAGAAACACTGACTGACTGCCTCCTGTGTGATCCAGGACTGAACCACAACCTGGGCATATACCCTGACTGAAAATGAAACCCTCAACCTTTCAGTACATAGGATGACACTCTAAGCAACTGAGCCACACTGGCCAGGGTGGACCAAGTTGCTATTTATTTATTTGTTTGTTTAATTAGTTAGTTAGTTAATCCTGAGGATATTTTTCCATTTATCTTCAGGTAGAGAGAGAGGGAGAGATAGGAAGAAAGAGAGAGAAACACTGACTTAAGAGGGACACACTGACTGGCTGCCTCCCGCACGACCCTGACCAGAGCCGGGGAAGAACCACAACCGAGGTATGTGCCCTTGACCAGAATCAAACCCAGGACTCACTGGTCAGAGGGCCAATGCTCTACCGCTGAGCCAAACTGGCCAGGGCCCAAGTTGCTTTTAATGCAGAAATCCCCTTTTTGGTATCCTTGAAGGATGATCACCCACAATCCAGAAAGTGTCATTATTAGCCAACTCTAATTGATAAAAAGTTAATTATTTTAGGCAAAAACAAATCTTGCACCGTAATTTCTACCCACCTTTCCCTAACACATTACATTGCACTAACTCAATGCTCATGTCTAGACAAGGTTAGAAGAGGAGAAGGCAAACGGGGCCACTTCAGGTTATTCTGGGATTTCTAATCTAGCAGTATTTCTTAGCACAAAGACTTCGGGGGTCAAATCTGTTGAATGCCATGATGCTAATGTCCATGTACTCGAAAGAAGTATGCCAACCAGATGTGTGGAGTTCTGTCTGAGAGAAACAAAGGTGACCTTTGTCAACGTCCTGCCATGGAAGCCAAAGGGAACCTGCCATCTGCCATTGGTCTGGAAGTCTGAGGTCTGATGCGAGCACACAGGTCCACTATCGGCTCAGCTGAAATGCTGTGATTTGAGTGCTCACTGGTGCTCAGACACAGCCAGAGTCGGGCACCCTGAGCAGCATGGCCTCGGGGTACAGCCTCCCCAAATGGGCCTCCTCTTACCCAGAAGCAGGACCCTAGAATGAAAATACTGCCCCCCAAGCCTTGGTTTTCTCATCTGTTGAAAGAAGGTAAACCCTCTTTGCACTGGGCACAGGTGAAGTGAAAAAGCATGAGGCATGAGGAGATACTGCACGTGGGCACACATGTGTGGTCTACATGGCATGGTAGCGTGGACTGACTCTGTAATATCAGAATGCACCTGCTTTCACAGCTTTCTTGACAATTCCATTTTCAGTGCTTAAAATCTGCCCACCAAACTGCAAAATGTACTGAATTAGATGCAAACCAAAATGGCCCGCGAAGCAACAACATGGAAAACTCACAATTCTGCACCATCACGCCCTTCTCTACCTGTAGAAGTCACTACCAAGGGTGGGGGTTGGGGGGTAAGGAACATTCATGTTGGAGGTCACTGCAGCACAGGGGACATGACACGTGGAGGTTTAAGATATGAAGGGATTCACTCTGAAGACCACAACCGATAATCTCATTTCAGACGATGAGGAAAGAAAGGTTGATTATTCAGTTCTTTGTTCAAAACCATAAGGGCTACTCTATTATGACACTGATGCCATTTTATACACGTTAGTAGGATTTATAAAGGTGAGCCCACCAAAGGCCAAATCACAGTCCCTCCAGACACTTTCCTCCTGTAGTAGACACACTAGGTCCTGAGTCAGGTTGCTAAGAGGCACATTTGGGGTAGGAGACAGTGGAAACCCATCTATATTTTATTATTTATTTATTTTTTTAATCCTCACCCAAGGACATTTCTGCATTTATCTTCAGATAGAGTGGGAGGGAGAGAGGGAGGAAGAGAGATAAACATCAACGTGAGAGAGACACATCAACTGGCTGCCACCCACATGACCCCAACAGGGGCCGGGGACAAACTGCAACTAAGGCATGTGCCCTTAGTGGGAACCAAACCTGGGACTCTCTGGTCTGCAGGCTGACACGC